TGGAGAGAGGACATAAAAAAAACAAAGTACTTCAAAACTTCCTCTTTTATTACTAAATTCATGCTGGTAACATCCTTCTGCCTACTGCATTATGCATTGAAATCTAGCAATTAAATACTAGCTCATTGCTCAAGATTCAAGATATGTTTTAAAAATTTACTTTTTGTTACAGGTTGAAAGTAGCTGGTGTTACAATGATCAAATATTTTATTACAATATGTGCCACTAATCCAACATAAACATCAATGTATCTTACCTGGAATGTTTTCACAGAACAACTTTAAGACCAAGACAACTTCCAAGGTAAATTACAAACTTTAAAAGCTATTTTTGTTAACAAAGTTATTCTTAAATTAATCCACAAAAATGTGTTTCATATTTTATTTATTATGTTAAATAAATCTGTCAAGCCTTCATCTGGAGATATTAAAAAGATATGTGCTGCCTTGCTTTTATGAATTATTAGTTACTGGAATAATTTTAAGAAGCTTTATTTATGTTTTTACTTTAGTGTCTGGCATCATCTGCAAAATACATTACATTCTCTCTAAGCTGGTATTTCATGATAGGGAATCACAGATCTTTCAATAAGCAAAGCAGGATTCAGAATCTTTGAAGACCTGGACTAAATCCCAACACCCAACTTCCCCTACAATGCAGGGAAGGAAGAAATATGCATGAAAACTTATATTGCCCAGTGACTTGGGAAGAAAAGGTAGAAAGTGTGATTCATTTACATATTTACTTACCTGTAGATAAAAATAGGCACATGTATTTTAAAAAATAATGAGAATAAATAAAATCCAAAATGCCAAACTTTATATAATTAAAAATAAAAATAAAACCTTAACCAAATTTCTATCAGAAGCATCTTTATCACAGCTCTACCTTCTTACAAAAATATTGTAATAAACACATCATTGGTAAAAACGTGTTACGGTTACATTTGGAACATTATAGGAACATTCAGTTGCCCATACATAGGCACATGGTGCCATTTAAGGTGCTCTTGGTGCCTGCCTAGCCTCCAGCTGCCATCCAAGAAGGCACCTCAGATTCTGTGTCATATCTGACAGACCCTCTCTGTCAACACCTAACATTAAAAAACAAAATCAGATAGTGCAGTATTCACCAGTTATAACTGAAGTTTACTTTTAGACTTGTTATCAACTTGTTTTGCTACTAGTCAGTAGCTTAGCTAAAAGTCCCATCCAACATTCTTATAATCTTGAATAGAAACAAGCATAAAATAATCATATAGGAAATAGCAAGATAGAGATTTTACACATCTAAATGCAATCTCTAGTAATCCAGGTCTTTTCCTATGCTAACAATAAAGCTGTTTAGATTTAGCAACAGAAGACAACTGCATGTCAGAGAGGCACAGTACAAAATGAGAAACTTTTAATACCTGTGAAAAAAATGACATTATTAGCATTCATAGCACAGCCTATAATATACCACATTTCCATTAGCTAACAATAACATCCGTTTGATCTATACAGAGCAATTCTGGCCAGGAAGATCTAATTCATGGGCACAATCTCATTACAGCATTGAAGACCAACAGGACTATTGCTGCCTTTCCTGCACACCACAGGAATTCCAGGGACAGACTGTAAGGACACATTCACGTTTAATTATTATGAAAATGTCACATAAAGAATAAGAAAGCAGTTAAATCAATGTACAAAGATTAAAACTAGAAACTGGTAAGGCTTTAATAACACTCTGCACGTGAATTATGCTTCCAATAACACGCAAATGTATTATGAAGCTTTAGCTGGTATAAAGCAGTTTCTTATGACTTAATGTATTTGAAAAGAGAATGGCTGTACTTTGTGGTAACAGAAGTGCCAATTATGAATCAAACCCTCAGTTTAATTCACTTAATTATAGCTGCAGTTAAAGCAAAAAGCCATGTTTAAATATTTTCAGCTGGTGGAAGTGGAAAGACAACATTCATTTCCTCATATTTATTGGAGCACAGTAATGGAACCCCAGCCATTCGCTGCACTGCCATGCACCCTGTCAGTGCTCCTCCCCCAGGGGCCATTCCCCTTTTTACCTACTGCAACGCCTCCAGCCTTACCTCTGTGTCCCCAGACACCCAACCATGTCAGTGTCACGAGCATATACAGGAGAGGGTGAAGAAGCTAGAGAAGCAATTTTGGAGGATGCCAACACTCTCAACACTTGGTGTACTGGGTGCCTGCGCCCAGGCATTGGTGGGAGGCTGTGAGGGGAGGGCATGGCTGCCCCGCGCTCAACACAGCCAGTTCCAACAGTTTCCACAGCAGCCCCACTGCAAGGCATGGCTGAGCCCGTCACCAGCACTGGTGGTGGCAGGTTTGAGAAGGGGGAAACTGCATAAGGAAAAAATGTGTGAGAAATGAGCCCTGTGAGCACCCAGGTTGGAGAGGTAAGAGGAAGAGCTGTGGCTGCCTGAGCACATTCCCCCGGAGACACCACGGTGGAGCAGATGTTTTCTTCAAGGACTGCGGGGCAGCCTATGGAGAAGATCCATGCTGGAGCAGGGGAAAACATGAGCTCTACATTGCATAAACCAAGAACAGAAAATGTACTTGCTCTGCCACAAGCCATGTAAATAGCCTTTGAAAAAATCCAACCCATGATTACCTTGCCTCAGCAAGTGCAAGCAGCAGCATCACCAACCATTTTGAAGATGGCTTGTGGTGGCCTCATGTAAAAAGCTGCTCAGTCTTCAAATTCTTCGTCATTTTACTTACTAGTGAAGAGAGAATGAGCAGCTCTGTTCTTCCAGTATAGACACTGCAGTAAGCTAAAAAAAAACCAAACCAAAACATAATACAAGCCATGTTGGTGTGCTAGGTTCTAGCTGTAGATTAATAACCCTCTACAAGAAAAAATAGCATGCTACAGAGTATTTTGAAGTAGGGACTTCTGTTGTATTACAAAATTTTTTGCCTCATATATAGAATCATAGAATGGTTCGGGTTGGAAAGGACATTAAGATCATACAGTTCCAAACACACTGCCATGGCCAAGAGCACCTTCCACTGGACCAAGTTGCTCAAAACTCCATCCAGCCTCTCATTGAACAGGGATGGGGCAACCACAGCTTCTCTGGGCAACCTGTGCCACTGTCTCACCACCCGCATAGTGAAGAATTATTTTCTTACAGCTAATCTATATATATGGAAACATTGTTCCATTTACAAAAAGGCCTCATCACAATCTCGACTGCTGGGAAGCCATGACAGAACCTGAGAGCTCAGATTTGTCCTGACAGCTCCTTTTAGGATTTAAATAGCAGTCTTCAGCCTCAGCCCTACATCTGCTTTAGCTGGAAGCTAGCGAGAACATCCAAAATTTACACAGATGGACCCCTTTTGGCCTCAGGACAGCTGCCAACCCTTCAAAAGCCATTGCTATTCTGTTCCCACTGCTCCACCTCCAAGAAGGCAACCATGACATTCCATGTACATTTAATACCAACATGAAATATTTATTACCCTTTCCAGCTTTGAGCTCTGTTTAGTGTTTTATCTCAAACCTCAAAATGGCACTAAAAAAAACCCTGTACAACTGGAAATATGTCAGTCCCTAAACCCATGAATGCTGCAGTTAAGAAACCCGCTCCACAAGACCGTAATTAAAAGTTTATTTGCATGGTACATAATCAACACTCTTACACTTGAATTTTTTTTTCATTGCAGTGATACAGGAACTTTTTAAGAGATCTTAAAGGATTTGAACCTGCATTATCTCATTATTGTTACATAATCTATCAATAAATAAATACATTGTGTATAACTGGAAGTGCCTGCCATATTCTTCTTTACTGTCTACCCCAACAATAAAACTCTATCATTCCCAAGCATTTAAGACCCCACATCTCAACTTCCAATGCAATACAAAGCCCTTATACTTCAGCATCCCATCTCTAAAAACCTACAAGAGTGATAACTGGCCCCAGCCCAGCCCACTGGCCAAGCATATGGGAATTTAGGTTACCCATTGCGCTTCCTTTCCTCCATATACAACCTTGCCCCTGACAGTTAGGGCACCCACAACCTCTGATCGCCTGCACAAGCAGAAGAGGGACACGATGTCAGCAGCTGGTCTTTAGGACCATGTGAATGAAAGCAATATCTCTACCCACAACAGAAGTGGAGGATGCATGCCGAGACCCAGCTGGAATGATGCAGGAACGTTGAGTGGCACAGCACAGAGGCTGAGCCAGGGCACCCACCGCAGAACAGTGACATGACAAGAATGTTGCACAATGGGGACACTTGTCAGGGCAGAGCTGATGTGCAGCTGAGGGAACAAGAGATGTTCAAGGAAAGGCTGTCAGCCTGGCACAGCTGCATGCCATGTGTGGTTTCACGGGAGGAAAGGGCTGAACCTGAGCACATCCATGCTCACAGCCACCCCAACTGAGTGCTGAGGGGGCACAGCCTGCAGGCTGACTAGAGGCTCTGGAAGCCAAATGCCAATGAATCACACCTCAGTATGCATCTGCCCAAGCAATGCTGTTTTAGGATGTCAGCACCCTCCTTCCCAGGCCCTCCATGTGGGCATAGAAGGTTAGGTTTCAGTTCTTCCCCAAGGTGGACTAAGAGTTTAATTCCATTTCAAAGGAGTGGAAGGTGTTTAATAAAAATAAAAGGAAAAATTACAGACACACAAAATCTGAAAGAGCAGAGGTAATGCCAGGAACAGCCTGCAGTGAGGGGAAGGCTCTCACCTTCCAGACTGCAGCTCCAGATTCAGGTACTTGCACCTGCTCCCCAACAAACTTCTTTGAAGAAGCAATGCATTTATATATTAAGAACTCCTTCTTAGAGTAAACATCTCAGAACAATTCTCACACTTCTGCCTTCTGCTGCTGCCTCCTTCAAAATTCTATCCCTCAAGCCCAGGGGGAAAAAAAAAAATAAAAAAAAAATAAAAAGCACTTAAAAAATACACTTTGAAATCCTACCAAAGTTTGTTTTCTGTTATGTTACCCCCTGGCTATTCAACATCCTTTCATGGCTTTAACAGTAGCTGCCAAGAAGTGGCCTTCAATTTGCTCAAACTGCAGAGGCGAGTTCCAGCTGGATATTGATATTTTACATTATTCCTGTTCATTAAGCATTTAAAAATACACAAGTTATTTAAGCTTTCAGCAATGTGTCCAAGACCAAAGCTTCTCCTTTACTTCAGAAGGACGGTACGTTAGTTCTGCTCATCTCTGTTTTTGCTGAAACTGGTGAAGTTACAGCTCACTTCACATGACCTTGGCTATTCCCTATTGCACATTCAACTTCCACCTTATTAGTCAGACACAGTGTTTCCAGCAGAAACTCCCTCCCGTTTCAGAAAGCCTCATGTGTTTAAACAAGAAGGGGCTCCTGCCAATACTCATATCCTCTCACTCTCTTCTATCTAATGGGGTAATACATCTTAAGGATTCTTGTAGTTCCATAATTATGGGTATAAGATGTAGGACTTCCTCCCATTTTTAAACAGTGCCAGCTCATCTCAGAAGGTTAAAAAAAATAAAAAAATGTATCTTATTGCATGCAACAGACTAATAAAAAGGCTATGTATCAGCATAATAGGCAATGTATAACTGTTACAGTTCTGCTTGTGGAGGAAAAGTTATGCAAAGCACCCTGCCATTAAGCATCTGGAAGGCAAGAACACCCCAGCATACTATAAAGTGGTAGTCCAGTTCCTGGCAGCTCCTCACTTGCAGGAGAATTAGGTACATATTCCAGATACAATGTTTTCCCTTGTGCCAGCAGTGCTTATGAACAGGTCCAATCCATCCAGACAAACAGAACACACTCCTTCCATCTCTTAATCATTGTATACTCGAAGAAAGTCACACAAGTTTCAGTCTACATATGTGGAGAATAAAACACAACTAGGCAGACAGGATAGAACCTTGGGAAGGTCCCTCAGGCACACCTTGATCAGTCATTTTGTTTGCTAGTGTTACATCCCTGACACAGAAGTGCTCAAGACTGTAGGCCCAGAAAGGAGCTGCAGAAGCCTCACAGATTTCAAAGACATGAGACAAGGATATTTCTACACATCCAGAGTCAGCTGAATGAAGCAAACATCTAAAAAAAATTCCTTTGACTTTATCTGTGTTAGCAAATATACTCAATAGCATGATTGCTGCAACTCAGCAGTCTGTGCTGATGCTTCAACAGAAGCCAGAAGAGCATTCTCAGCTGCATTTCCAGTTCTCAGTTTTCCTTATCATTTAGTGAATCCTGGAGCGGGAAGAGAGGGCAGAGAGAGAAAAATTAACAGAGGAGGGGGAGATTTCCCCATGATTTCTTGTGTGCCCATTTCCCCTTCAGTCCTTACTCCAAGGGAAGGATCGAAGAATCTCAACCAACTCTTTTACCCACAGGGCCAGGCAGTGTTATACAATCCCAACACTACAATAGATATTTTGCCACAAAGAGCTGCCCCAACACATTCCCTCTCTGCAGTTTTATCTCTCCTTCTACTACAAGTTTTAATTTGAATGATCTTCCTTTGGGAAAAGAAAAAGAAGCATCCCTGCGCAAACGTCTCTCCTCCTAGCTGCACTAGCACGAGATATTTTTCTTTACCTGGGTTAGGAGTTGATGACGTCTCAGCTGTCTATAGAACTGCAACACAGAAGGATCGGCTCTCACTACTTTGGGGTCAAAATCCAGAACACGGAGACCTGCAAGGCTACGTGCTCGGGAGAGAGCTACATAAGCCTGCCCACTTTCAAAGACACGAGACAAGGAGATTTCCACACAATCCAAAGACATGCCCTATCAAAGAAGAACACAGACAAGTTTGTTACAGAAGAAACAGAGAACACGGTGTTGTATGAGCACTAATCGGCCCCGTGAGTCTGTCAAAGGTACCATCATTGGTGTACAGGATTGATTAAAAAAAAAAAAAAAAAAGAAATCTCCTGTTTGACTGTGTAACTGACTAAAAGATGGGAATCACTGCAAAGAAAATGATGGTTTTCCACTGTCAAGTAATTGCTAGCAGACAGTAGGGTCACCTAACTAACTCCACAAGTCCCATGTAATGAATCCTGCTATTTTCACTCCTAGTACTTAGCTGGAGCAGCCACCACTCCCAAGCAATCCTCAGGCATCCAAGACAGAGTTTGGGTTAGGCCTGGCCAGCCCTGTTTGCACCCAGAGACATTGCAGGAGGGAGCAGAATTTGCAGCATGGCCTGGTTTAGACAGCAGCATGTGAACAAACTCACAGATCTCCAAGTGTATGAAGCCTTCTGAAAATGTAGGAACTTTATTAGCTACACTGAAAAATCAACAATGCACACCACCAAGGATGCACAGGTGCGACTCCTGCAGCTTGCTCATGTACACTGCAAACTTCAGGGTCGCTCATGCTAATGACTATCAGGGAAACACTACCTCTGATAAGCCCACAGTGGTAAACACCACTGCTTGAGAGTCTAACACCAACTATGTAGATGGCAGCACCTTAATGGAAACTTTAACAGTATTGCTAGCCCACCCTTGACCCTATAGACAAGTATCACAAGCAGAAGATGTGCTGCCTTCTCTGCAGCTAGACACACATATTCTAGAGGACCCCCACAATGACACTGTCAGTTTCCCTTCTTGTTTTACCAGAAATGGAAGCTCACCCATGAAATAAGGCTTATGATGGTGTAAAAGTCTATGCACAGCTGATAAAAACACTCACCTGACTCTTGTGAATGGAAATGGCCCATGCTAATTTTAAAGGCAACTGTTGACGAGTCAGATGAACCCCTGATGGTCCTTTGAAGACCCATTTCTCCATTTTTATGACCTGTGTGATCCCACAGAGGAACCTCACCTTAGGCAGCCCTGTAGGAGTAGAAGCAGGAAAGAAACAGGGATGTATTCCTGCCCCACAACTGCCAGAAAGCCAGCAGCCTAACACCACTTAAGTTTTTCCTCCTTCCCCATGTCAGTCTTTCACGAATTTTAGAAGTACATTAAAAAAAAAAAAAACTAACTAGATAATAAAAAAAAATCTCACACCAGAAACAAATGAAACAAACAAAAAACACATCCAACCAAAAACAGCTAAACCTGCACACAGTAAATAGGATGTCCTGAAATTACTTTTGGGACCCACTTAAGCAGCAGAATTAAATTCAGGAGTCAGGTAATTTATCAGTTGAGGTGCAAAGAAAAATACACGCTGCAGGTAGTAGAGCATCACTCTCCAAGTAAAACAAACAAGAAAAAGCAACACACCAAGACTTGCTTCAACAGAACAGACAGGAAACATAAATGAGCATACACAACTAGAGAATAAAGGAAAGCAAACACAAGAGGCTCTACAGATAGCTACAAATGGTACAGCACATGACATCACAGCTTATAAGAGCCAAAACCTCTCACTGCAGAAAAGACTTCCTCGCTGTTTTCTCTGAAATTATTCTTACCAAGCAGTAAACAAAATTAACAAGTCATCAGCTGTCAATGATGTTATTTTGGGTTCCCCCCCTTTTCCTTCAACAAAAGATCAAACAGCTTACTTACCTTTCTGTTCACTTTCAAATCCTACAATAACTCCTCGTGCTCCATTCACAAGCCCTTGAGACACATCCAGATTCTTAGCTAGCATCACCTACAGAGAAAAAGAAAAATCCCTTAGTGCACTGGCTTTATAGCCTATTCAGCCATCTGCAGCTAAGTTCTAGCCAGGAGGCATAAGCACAGCAGGCTGATACGGCCACAGCCACATCATCCTATTGCAGGCTAGGGCACCATCTCCAATTTGACTGAAATTATTTCACAGCCTTTCTTCCCAGGATTCCCAACGACATCATTCTGCAACATCAAACACTTCACTTGAGCTGCTTCTGCTCACAGCTGTGAGCTGAGGTCCAGGGAACAGATTGCCCTTCCCTCAACATCAACCAGCCTAGACATAGATTCTGGAAACATCTAAGGAATAACTTCCTGAGGCAAACAGTGCTTCTGCTAGGCACAATCCTTTCCATTCCAACAGCCCTAGTTCGCAGTAATGTGCCCAGTCCTGCAAAATTTAGCAAGCTGTGCTATAACCTTTCAGGTCAGGAGGGCTGCTGTACCTGAAGGCAAGACTGCAGGTAAGGACTGCCTGCTCTCTGCTTACTGAAAGCTAAACCTAATTGGAAATATGCAAAGTCATAGCAGTCACCACTGTCTACAAGACATAGACCTCAACTCAAATCAAACTAATTCTATGAATAAGATTCAAAGCAGAAAGAACACAAATATTGAGATAGAGTCATCTGTCACCCTGGCATAGCCATTCTAATGTATAGAACGCAGATTCTGCACAGTCTACTCTATGCATTTATCTGCTATTCTTTATTTTTCTTAGGCTTTCACAAACATGCGCACACACACCTACCTGAGCTCCAAGCTTTAGCTCAACTCTACCACCCACAGGACATTGAGCATCAATTAACTTCACTAGCATCGGGTCACTGTCCAAAGCCTCAAAAGCATGCACTTCTCCTATTAAGGAAGAACATAACAAATTGCAACCATTTAACACACTGTACCCAGCATCACAAGGTGCTCAGTGTTTATTTCTAATAGCTGTTCCTCTTTTAACATCCATTGTGTTCTGCTGGTAGGACATCTTCACACAAACCTTGTCACATCTAACAGCAGAAAGTTCACTATGCCTCTCTTCCCACCATAATTCCCAGAGCATGAGAAGGCTTGTGGATCAAAAGCCAGCAGTAAATAAGAACTGAGTAATCACCATTTTGAGAAAGTGACCGGTTTCACTTGCAGCCAACAACAGATCTCCACAGAGGACTAGGAATCCTAGGGCCAGACAGGGAAACAGAAATGAAATAGCCTTTAATTCAAGCTCTGGCTGGGTAGAGCATGGCCTTTCTAAGATGCTAGAGAAACAAAAACCAGGAGTATGGAGGCAATAAATGACCCAGTCTACCTCACAGCAAGCAATGAGCTATTTATTACACACCAAGAAGTAACAATGTGTATTTTTAAGCAAAAAGCTGTGAAGTTTTTCCCCAGACAGCTCAATTCCAACACCCACAGCTTAGGCTGATGCTGCTGCACATGACACAGCACCAGGTTCCTCCTGGCACCACAGTATCCCCATTGCACCCACTCAGTGCTCAGCCCCAAAGCCAGCAGTTTCCTCCAAGGAGTTCACCTGATAGCTGTTGCAAGCGTCTCTCATTAGTTATTTCTACATCATCTTTATGAGTGCAGAGCCGTGTGGCCAGGATCCCATCACGCTCAGACCTGTTATCAGCAGTCTGCATCAGCTGTCTAGTAACCTCCTCTGTGCACCTGGTAACCAGGAAAAAGGGATTACTACTTAAAGTGATCGGGAACAGGTCATGAGAAGCAGTAAGCTACACACAGCTAGATCAGGCTGTGCAAGCCCCAGGCCTCTAGGGAGGAGGATAGGGAGAGATAAACACACAAAGATGGAGGGAGAGCTGTGCCACTGTGTGAACCAGCTCTGCCCTGTAAGCATCCAGGTGGGGATCCACTGAATTCCTAGCAGAAATTGCAGAAAGGAACCCTAGAAAGGGTTCTTCCTTACTAGAGCATATATGAAGCCTCCTTACATTAACAGAAGGATTAATAGCTATTGCCCCCAGCCGTGCATTCCTGACAGAGCACATAGAAGTAACCAATCCACTTTCCTCTGCTCCATCAGTAGGAAGCAGATATTACAAAGAGAGACTAATTTCTCCTCACCTGCCTAAACGGATTGCACTCAGGAGTGAGACAAAGGTCTTGTCAGTCTGTCTCCGCACTTCAGTCAACTCCATGTTTATGTGGATGCATTTCCTCCAGCTTTTTGCCTGGTAAATTATTTTCTTGTTATAAAAGAAGCAAACTTGAAGTATGAGAAAGAGTTTAGGGACAGTTTTGTACCTGGAAGCAGAACGTGATTTCTTCATTAGCCTTGCAGACTGGGGGTAGCTGCAAGAAGTCCCCACAGATGATTAGCTGAATTCCTCCGAAAGGCTCATCCCGTTTTCTGACTGCCCTGAAAAGGAAGGAAGAGAGAAGTTCTGAATGCCCTCCTGGACATAGGCATGTCTCGGAAGTTACTTCTTCGCTTGTAAGTATATTCAAACATATACCACTTGCGGCAAAAGGTGATCCTATTCTCCTCTGCTGTAGCAGTAAACCTCAAATAATTAAGCAATGCTACCACAAGACATTAAACGTGCTCTGCTTACCCACCCAGACATCATTACCAGACTTGATTCTTTAGTAGCTGTTATACTACAGCTGCCTCTCTGTGAGACAGAACTGCTGGGCACAGCACAGACAGTTGGATTCTGGACTTGGCTCTGCAGATAACACTTGGCTCCAAAGATGGAAACCCAGGGAATGTGGACATGAGCAAAACCTACCTAAAGATAAAGATCTGCCTAGATGCTGGCTATGATTTCATGCTTCTTTTCAGCCCTATGCCAGTGGTTGTCTTACACCCATTCACATGAGCAGCTGGGATATTTAGTAAAATTCATTTCTGTTAGTTGTTCGACCTGACAATTGCTCACCTTGCTACTGCCTCCAGCCTGTCAAAGAACTTGCCATCCACCATTGAGATCTCATCAATAATCAAGTGCTGGCAGGACAGCCAGTGCTGGCGCACCCCAGGCCTCTCTGCCAGCTGAATACACTGCTCCAGCGGAGCCTTCCCGGAGCCGATCCCTAGCAGGAGAGAGGAAAGCAAAGCTTTGGGAAACTCCCGATTCTTTAGGAAAGGAACAAGAGCTCCCAGACCCACTGTCAGGCAGATCATCACCTGCAAAGGCATGGAGAGTGGTGCCACCGATGTGGCAAGCTGCCACTCCTGTGCTGGCTGTAGCATAGGTGGTCTTCGGAGGGAGGGAGCCCACAATCTTCTTCAGCAAGAATGACTTCCCGGTTCCTTGGAGGAGAGGAGAGAGAAGCAGTAGGTCAGTGGTGATGCCCGAGGGCTTCAACCGGTGACAGCCGCCCGGCCCCTCACCTGCGCAGCCAGTGAAGAAGATACTCTTCCCACTCCTCACAACTCCCATCACAGCCTCCTGCTCCGCCGAGAGCCTCGCTGAGGGCCGCCTTTCCGCGCGGGGAACCTGCGGGACAGGCAGCGGCGCACCGTGAGGTCAGGGCCAGTAACCGTAACCGGTAAGCGGGGCCACGCCCCTCGCCCCAATACTCACCTCCACCGGCGGCTCCCCCTGAGCTTCGCCCCCGCGGAGGCGGCCTGGGGCGCGCAGCAGGTCCCGCTCCTGCAGCGGGCTGATGATGGCGAAGGCCGCCGGCGGCCGGTCCAGCAGGCGGGGGACGCGCGGAGTGCCCCGCTGTCCGGCTGCCACCTTGACCCGCAGGAGACGGAGGAAGCGGCGCAGAGTGTCTGGGGGGCAGTCGGAGAGGAGGACCTGGGCGCCGCTCGGCCCCACCCGCACCGCCGCCCGACCCTCACCCGCGAACCGCGTGAAGAGCCGCACGCCTTCACCGGCCAGCACGAAGCTCAGGGCCGCCGCCGTCGCCCCGCCGCTGCCGGCGACCACCCGCAGCACCGGCTGCCGCAGCTCGTTGCGGCCCAGCAGCACCAGCGCGTCCCGCATCACGCGGCGCCTGGGGGCCTGTCCCCCTGGCAGCGGCTGCTCCACGGCCACAGTGCAGCGCAGCTCCGCGTCCTCCATGCTGCCGCTATCGCCGCCGGCATCGGCCGTTCAAACCCACCGCGAGCTGCCGCCGCCAATCAGCGCCAGGGGCTTTAACTCGGAGGCCAATGGGAAACGGGAAGGGAACCGGTAAAAGAGGCGGAGCACCATATAGACCAATCAGCAGCCTCACTGGGGACCACGTGAGGCGTTGCCAGCCTACGGGACGCTGCGTAGCCCCAGGGGACCATGGCCGCCCGCAGCGCTAACAACATGCCGCTGGACCCAGTGCGGCTGAACCAGCTCCTGTGCGAACGGGTGAGGAAGGAGCTGAAGTACCAGCGGCTGCACACAGAGTACAGCGTGAATCCGCTCCAACCAGGTGAGGCGGCACACGGGAGGCCACAGAGAACTGGTGCGAGGACCCGAGGGCAAGACGAGCACAGCACCGAGCGGGGCTGAGGGAAGGCTTGCGGACCGGCCGGCCCGCGTGAGGCCAGGGCAGGCCGTGGAGAAACAGGCTGCGTGTCAGAGACAAGCAGCTTCACCCGAGAAAGCCAGCACAGGGCAGTGAGAGGGGCAGAGCTGGAAGGAGCAACCCCGTGGGCTTTTCTTTTGCCTAAGTGAACAATCTGCACCCTCAGAGGCAGATCGGCAGCATGACAAATTTGCCCAGATTAGACAGTGCATTGGGGTTAGGGTTAGTGAGGCAACTATCTGGGATCCAGAACCCACGGATCCTGAGCAAACACTACAGATAGCATAGGTAGCCTCAGCGCTATAACATATTCCCTGGCTGATTTCTATCTGTCAATTCAGTTATATCATAATCTGTGCTGGCAGATGAGTGATGTCAACAGATTCAACCAGGTACAGCTTTTACGATAAACCAAAACCAAAAGAAAGTAACAGCCTGAAACTCAGCATTCTGTGGGCCATCTCTTGGGCAGAGTGGAAGTTTGCTGTGGTGAATGCACAGAGCACAAAGCAGTAGTGCCTTTAGCATCCTTAACCCCCTTCCCTTTTTAAAGTCTGGCTCACTTTGTTCTGTTCTCATGCTGTTCTTCCTTTATAACTTCAGTGAAGTAGCTGGGCCCAGACTGGAGAATAACCAAAAAAGAACATCTGCAGTGACAGACAGCCTTACCTAGCTGTGATGCTATGTTCACATTGAAGTAATTCATCTCTACAATTTCTTTCCAGTTCACACTATCACCAGGAAGCCTATGTCATGGCATGATAATATAGAAGAGCCAGCAGATGGTAAGAAATCTCTTAACAGCTTGTGATAATTACATAAGAAAATTACTAATAAATAGGATTTTAAAATTCCAATTAGTCTAAAAAATGACATGTGGAAACACCGTGTCAGTGTAAGAAAGTAAAACTCAGTTATGCTTTTGTTAAATGTAAGGCATTTTTTTTCCAGTTTAAGGCCCTTTCCTATTTTCATTACGAGTACAAACTTGCATTCATGTAATTATGTTTTTGTTTCAGTTATACTATAAAATTGTCTGAGAATCTAAACCTCTTTCAGAAAAAAATAAAAATCTAGAAACATGTTTTATACATACATGTTGCCTGTTGTTGCAGATTCTACCTAACCACCAACTGCTTAAGCGGCTGCCAAGTCTCACTTTAGAGCATTAGTAACAGGAACCCTTACAGCAAGTGCTCCCTTATTTTCCAATTCATGCCAATTTTGCCTAAAAACCTTAACAGCCAGTTAAGATTGGCCTGCCCTAGTCAAGGACTGGGGCGGAAGAGGAAAAAACCAAAACAGGGGAAAGCAGCAGGTCTCAGGCAAACAAGAAAGATGAGAAATAACACGAAGTGCTGGTTGATACTAAATGTGGTGTAAGAAAATTAACATGCTACAATACAGCAGACAGGGATGATAGAATTAACAGGACAGTATAGGCAGACAAATCTAGAAACTTCATCAGATAAATTTGAGCAGAAACGTCACCATCACACCACCATTTGCAGAAGCATAGAGGTTGCCTCCAACCTTGGCTTTCTTGTTACCACTTGGACAGCATTAAGATGTCCTAATGCACCCAATGGGTAACTGTTTTTTAAACATACTTTCTTTCATTTGTATTTGTGTCTCTTAAATCAACAGAAAAGTTTCTGAATCTTATTCACCATGCAGCACTGGAACCAACAAAGAAATATTCAGAGCCACAAACTGAAAGTCAAGAAATTGGCTGGAACACAAAACCTTTGGTAAGGCGCTTAAGGACTCAGATCTTTGCAGGATTCAGAGAGGTTCAGCCCATCACAGTGGAATATATTCACATAAGAAAGTAATCTGTGACAAACACAGGAAACAGGAATGAGTATGATGAGCACAGCTATTCATGGACAACACTCTTTTAGAATTTACACCTAAGCTGACTCTTCACAATGGCATAGGCTTGTGAACACAGAAACAGTAGACACCCCCCTGAGAAACTTGCATGCGAAATACCTACAGTCACAGCTGACCCCAAGCACATTGCCAAATGCCACATACATAGTCATGGGTGTTTATTAAAGCCTTCTGCCACAAGAAATGGCGTAGTGAGCAATGTGAAGTGACATACGAAAGTACTATGAAAAGAAATGTGCTGCTGTAAAACCAAATTGCAAGCAGAACCATAAAATTAATAATCAGCTAAGTATACCTGAGGCAGAATACACCAGTGAGGATTCATTTGGGGAAGTGTGAATAAACAGGAGAAATTATTAACAAGCTGAGACATCAACCATATTTGACAAATGAATAGCTGTGACAATAACTGACTTTGTAGATTTCTGTTTCGAGAAAGGCAAATGAAGGCCTGATTAATTTTTGCTTGTTAAGAGAAAAACCAGGATGAGAAGAGTCTTCTGTAACTTTTCATACTGTACGTCAGGTAAACTACTTACTCATGACAAGGCTAGACAGACATCCCCAGCAGGGCTTTACGCTTCCAGATACTGCTGGTAGGATTAGACTGGCAGGAAATTCATGTTGGCAACTAAATTTGTATGTAGAGAAGTAAGTTAAATTGAGAGTCAGGACTCATGATGCTGTTTTCATAGTGTTCCTTTTTCCCCAGGCTCTACGATAACGAAGCAGTGAACAGTATAGTCGCAAATAAACAGTATTCTATTTGTTTGTCACTTGGGCATTTCTTAGCAGCAAGAACACCATGTATCACTCTTCTCAGGAGGGACTACTACTACTTCTAGTGAACACATGACTATTCATCATTTTTCCTTCCCAGGTCCCTATGGACCGTACCGATTGCAGATTCTACTTCCCACGCCGGAAAACTGAGGTCACTAAATAAATGGCTGCCACAAGCCATGGGGAGGAGCAGTCTGAGAACCTGCAGCAGTAGAGTGGCAATGCCACACAACTTAGAAGCAGTTACTGACATCTAACATATTAGGCCCTGCTTGTCATTAGGTGAGTCTGGTACGTTTCTGCCAAGAGAAAATGTGAGAAAAGGGAAGAGGGAACCTCAGTCTGTCCAGAATTGTGGCCTGACAATAGTTACAGAAATAAACCTGTTTGTAAGATTGCTGCATTTGCCTTGCTGCTGTTTCCAAACCCATCTATATAAATAGTCTAAAAACCACTTCAATATGTTGACAGGCTTCAGACTTCTTATTCTGACCATCAACATGACCCAGGATTCAAGTTTACCAAGTACATGTCAGCAGTAGCTGTGGAAAAAGTTGTCAGAACAGAAGGAACAACGGGCAGGGATCAGCAACCATTCGTAACACAGCTAAACATGAGTTAGACTTAGCTCTGTGCAAACCATTTAATGTGTTCACACACCATAGGTTTAAGTAGAAAACAATCCTTCCACAAAACAGGCAGTAAGAAGAAATTAGTGATAAGGCACTAGTTTCCACTTTTCTTCTTGCCGCTTGGAAGCGCCCAGCTTGCTCCATGGTTAGCTGCTTGATGAGAGCAGAAACACATCTTGCAACACACTGAAACACAGAAACCCCATTGGGAGTAGAGTCCTCTTAGCGTGCCCGGCTCTTCATTTTCTGCCTTGCTCTCTTTCCAGGTCTCTTCTGCAAAAAAAAAGGACAATATTTCTTTCTGTGTCCTCAATATCCCTTCCAGCTCTAGAGCTTGCAGAGCATACTTGTCAAGAACTCTGGAGAGGGACATTTAGAGACACAGATAGCAAAAAATATTACTTGCTAATTCCCCCCATTCACTTCCCTGCTGAGATACAAAACCACTATCCTCAACTCTGTCTGCAACTGAATCAAGCTCAGCTCCGAAAGACAGGCAGTATCACTTCCCATTGCTGGAGGCACCCTTCACATACTCAGCTCTCCCTCCCAGACCAGGACTGGCTTCAAAGCCAACTCAGATCATTTGCATGCAACATTTTGCTTACGTTGAGGGCCTTTTTCCCTCTTTTTCCTCCTTTTCCTGGGCCCTTGTTGTGAGCCACTTTTGAACTGAAGCTGGATACATCATTAAAACTCTCCTGTGTGTTCCACTTGGAGCCTTTCTTCTTCCCACCAAAACCAAACTTCTGATTCTTGTATCGTCTTTTGGCATTTGGTCTGAAAAACAACCAAACAGCATCACGGCCTATATTCCTTTCCTCAGGAATACCCAAGAAGACACATATATCTGCTGATAGACTTCCATTAGCCATCATAAACCTTTCCCCTCTTACTGAAAAGGCAAAAAATAGCACATTTCAGTCTCCGTTACATTCTGGCCACAGTTTTCCTCCTCTGTAGGGTCCAGAAAACCACCTTGGACTTGTTTCAATGTTAATCACAACAGCTTTCTCCTTCCACAAAACGATCCCCCAGAAAACTAAAAAAAAAATAATAACCAGAGATTCTGCATTTGAATTTCCTTCTTTTCTGGTCTCACCCTTTCTTTGTTCGTTGATTTGCATTGCCTTTTTTATTCCCCTGAGATGACGTCTGCTCTTCGTCTAGGAAATCCAGCTTGTCAGACAAACCTGCAAGAGCGAAGACATGACAGCTACCACCACAGGAAATACAAATTTTCAGTCGAAGCAAGTAATAGTAAGAAGTCACCCTCATTGAAGAACAGCTACTTGGGAGGATTTTCACTAGCACAGAATTCTGCACAGCTGCAGTCTTTCAAGCTTAGTGCCCAGCACTACAGATTGACACCACACATCACATGGCCGTACACTTGCTCATACATTGCTGCTCCCACTACACATTTGCTCTCTTTGAGAACTTTACCTTTCTGGTATTTTTTAACTGCATTCAGCATATTCTTTTTCTCCTTTTGTCTTCTCTGCAGAATCTCAGTTTGCACCTGGGATTAGAAGCAGAACATTAGTGCTGTCCTTAGTAGTGTCCCACACATAACTTCAGTAGCTCCTCCTCACCTTCTTGCCATATTTTCTCATTGCACGGAGCTGTTTCGCTTTCTCAGACCTTTCCATTGCTTCCTGTTTACTCTTCAGCTTCTGTCGAATCTTGTTGGGGGAACAGAAAAAACAACATTTATCAGTAATGCAGAAGAAAATATGAGAATTTTATGATTGCTGTGCAGTCCTGAAATCAATAATTATATGTGAACTATTAATGAGTGTAAAAAAAGTAAAACATCTCTCAATCAGATAATGCTTTATAGGGCACAACATTCTTTCAGCTGAGGGCTGGAACAGTTATTACACAACCTCCTGAACTGATTTGTAGCCAAAATCTCTAGAGACAAGACAGAGCCTTATAATGGGCTGTAACAGAACCAAAAAATAAGTGTATCTTGTCACATCTTGTCAGCTTACTAAGGTCTATGTAGAAGATTTGAAAGTTTCTTTCTTGTCATTTAAAGCACTGAAGAAGAGTCAACAATCCTTTCATGCCACATCTTTTTCGTTCCCTCCCTGTTAATAAACGTTTCTATAAAGATGCCACATTACAAGGGATTACGACGAGTTCAACCCAGACCATCTGGCTTCAGTCTGTGACTCCACTAACAGATAAAAACTCTGTTCTTCCAACAGAAGCCACCAAAAGAACAGTAATGTGCAGAACTGACTTAAGCCTCAGCACAACCTAATTATTAATATTCCTCTTTTCTAAGAGTAGTCTATCAGCCAGCAAAACAGCGATCAAGTCATCCATGAACCTCCAAATTAGCTTCTAGCTCATGTATATTTAACTTACACAGTGTAGTATCTTTTCCAAAACTAAAACAAGAGTTAGGCTTCCATTTTGAACAAAGATCACAATCAAAAAGCAAGTTCACAAAATTATTTTCCATGCAAATCTGCCTTACTACCCAGGATAGATTAATTCAGCTGTGAAAACACAGTTCAAAATCACAAAGAACCAAAACAGGCTGACTATCAACAAAGGGTGATACTTAAATAGGTAAAAAGTATCATGTTAATGCCACAGTTGACTGCAGTCTTGGGACAAAGAGCATAAACACGACCAACTTCACTACTACTGTTACATGTATGAAGAATTTGCCTCCATTTTTAATATTAAATACATTCAGGACAGAATATAGTAGAAAAGAATATATGCTTTTCTGCTTTATGTTCCAATCTGTTATGGAAGTCCACACACTGCACTGAAATACCTATTCCTGTCACAAACAAGCTTTCAAACACAAACATTGTCACGGGCACTTGTCAGAGATGAAGTATTCACACATCACACCTTCAAGTCAATCCCTAACACAGGCTAAAAGCAGCACATAACACAGGACAGCGAGCCATTATTCACTGAACATACCTTCTGCATTTGTTGGTCTGATTTGGCCATCTCTGCAAAGTAATCATCTGGCCTTCTAGTAGGAACCTGGAGCTTATGCAGCCTTGGTAGGGCTTCCAGGACTGCTGCCTGCGCCTGCCGGTAACTGGGGAAACAGCACAGCACCAGCTCTGTCACTGGCATTGGGCATCTCACAACACCAACAGGAACTCTGCTCACATAAGCTAGCAGATACGGGGATCTAGCAAGCATTGATCCAGAATTGTATCAACATTCCATGCTACTATAAGCAATTTAGGTGCCAGTACAGTATTAATGCTTACATCTTGCACATATACATTTACCTAGTTTCCAGCTACAGTTTTGTATGGTGAATTATAAAAGGCAAGGCAAAACAAGAGAACTGTAATAACATCAAAGCAAATTCACAAAGAAAAAGCCATACCCTGTGCTAAAACCACAGTGCTGCAATCAAGGAACTTTGTAAATAAACTTTTCAGTAAAAGATGGAAGTCTGCTGTGAGGAAAGAAATTCTTTCCAGTGACAAGTTAAATATACTGTCATTAAAAACATTCAGAGCCACCAAATGTGGCCCAAGAGTGCCACAGTGACAGCCAGTGTGGCTGTCAGCAGCACACCTGCAAAACACAACACCCAAGCACGCAGCATTATGCCAAAACCCTGCAAGAAACCTCTCTTTTTGACACTTACAAGCTCATTTCTCTCTGGAAATCATTCTCAGGGTCAACAGCGTCTTTGTTAGAAGCACTCTGTGAAACGGGGTCCACGACCTGGCCCAAAGTCACGTCCAGCCTTTCCACCCAAGCCAGATGCTTCCTGAATTCGGACAGGCACTGCTTCAGGCCTTCCTGCGAAAGAAGCACAGCCCTGCACACCTCCGCAAAAAACAGCCCCCCCCCCCCCCCCCCCCCGACTGAATGTCCAGGTGCACCCTGGAACGCTCCTCCAAGGTGTTGCCCCCCAAATCCCCACACCAAGGCAGGCACCCTCCAGGCCTGCCCTGCCCCGACACCCCGGGCCCCAGCACTGGCGCAGGCTCTTCTGCCGCGCACCCGGCACCGACCCGCCCCGCAGGCCCCGCTCACCGCATCGTTGCGCCGCTTCGGCCGCTCCTCGAGCACCACGTTGAGCCCCGGCTTCAGCTCGCCCCTCAAGAAGGCCTCTTGCAGCTGTGGGAAGGGCACCGTCAGGCCGCGCCGCCGGGCTGCCCTATACCGCAGCGGCCGCGGGAGGCCTCACCGCAGGGCCCCGGCCCCTGCCCCGCCACCGCAGGCTCACCTCCGAGTCCGAAAGAGAGGAGTCCTCCGAGTCCGAGCCGGAATCAGAGAGGGAGTCACGCCGCGCCATGCTGCCACCACTGCCCCACCACTTCCGCCCACGTGCGAGCGCCGCCGCTGCCACTTCCGGGGGCGCCGGCGCCGCAGTTGCTACGGCGACGGCAGCGGCGTCGGCGGCAGCAGCCCCATGTCGGCCGTGGTGGCGCAGCCCGTGGCCGTTCTCGGCTGCCGGCCGGGGGTCGCCGGCGGCGTCTGCTTCTTGGAGGATCAGGTCGTGCTGCACGTGGTGGGGGCGGGCTGCGTACAGCTCCACCTCAAGCAGAAGTGGCACAAGTTCATCCCAGGTGGTCCCGGTCCCGACCCCGGCCCCGACCCCGGCCCTGACCCCGGCCCTGGCCCCTGCCCGCCCTGACCCTTCTCCTCCCCGCAGGCATCGAGAAGACCCGGGGCGTGCAGGCGATGGCCATAAGCCCCGACCGGCGGTACCTGGCCGCCGCAGAGACGGTAGCGGATCAGCCGGTGCTGACGGTCTACGACCTGTCGTCGGTGCCGGCGCGGCGGCGGAGGACGCTGTCTGCCGCCGAGCTGCCGGAGCGTATAGCGGTGTCTCTGGCCTTCTCCCCCGACTGTCAGTACCTGGCTGCAGCCACGGCGCCCCCCGAGGGGCACCTCACCTTCTGGCTCTGGGAGAAGCAGCGGCTGATGGCTGCCATCCGCCTCGAGGTCCCGGGCAGCAGCGTCTGCCAGGTAACAGTGGCGGCTCTCACGGGCTCCCACCCGCTGCCAGCCCCGGGGCCGTTCGGATCCCCGCAGCCTTGCCACGGGGGTGCACGCAAACACCTCCGCAATTGAGCTGGGCCAGCGTCTCTGCTGCTTGTGTTTAACGTTTTGATTCACAGTTGACTGGTTCTTTGGGAGCCTATTGCACTCTTTCAAAAACGTGGGCAAAAAGACCAAACTTTAGTCCAACAAGTACTGGGTGCCAGGTAGGTTGGTGCCATGTGAGTTCAGTCTGCAGGATAAGTGCCCAGTACAATTTCCTGTGACCACATGGCTTCTATCCAGGGCAAGACAGGAAGGAGCGGGCTCCACACTGTAGATTTTATGTAGTTTCCATGGCCTTTCTTGCCATCTGCTGTTGGCCTTCCTCGGCAATAGAACACTGGGCTAAATAAATCTTTGCTTTTGACCCACAACGGACATTGTTATGTCCTTGTCTTTTACATCACATGAGATCTATGGTGTGGGGCCAGTACAGCTGGCCAGTGTGTGTGCAACATGTCCTTTGTCTCTCTGCAGAAACACTTATTAAATATACTGTCTGTGTTCAGCAGGCATAGCACACATCTTGAAAGCTCTCTGCATGCTTGCACACCTTTTCCTTCCTGCAGTCTGTTCTATGGGCAGGCCATAGTAGTAGCCCAGGAAGAGTGCCTAGGAGCAGGCTGATGGCACTCAAACAATTCCTGCGTCCTTCTTGGATGAGGTTTTTAGTATCTTTCTTGCAGGGAGCTAAGAGGCTTTCAGTACCTGGGTTGGCTGGACCCTAGCTGCTGTTTTTTCTGGGGTACAGCTAGACGGAGAGGTTGTGTGAACTACTGACTTCATGAACTCAATTTCTAAGAGGAGGAGAGTGACTTGAAAGACAACTACTGTCTAAAGTCCCATTAAGCATGAAAAATGAGATCTAACTACCACTGCTATCCTTTATGTTGGGTATTAAGATAGCTATCCCACTTTTTCTACCAATAAACACCTAATTATGTGAATTAATATGTATAATGGGCAAGGTATGCCAGAAATAATTTATTCCTGGCCTTTAGGAATGAATGGTCCCACTTCTCATGAAGCTTGCCACTGGAAGAAAAAAAAAATGCTAATCAGCAGTAAAGAGGTATTTTTGCCTTACTTTTGGCAATCCTGAAAGTCAGAGACAACTTTCCCTTTGGTATTGCATTGTGATTCAGATAGCAGCTTAATAGAGTTAACATATTTGTAATATCATGTAAAATTGATATACAGTGTTCTGAAAGGGGGGAAACTGCAATATGTGGTTATGATGGTTATTTCTTATTCTTTTCTGTATTCCTATATGTTTCTAAGAAACTTCTTCCCTTGTTTGTCCTCCTGTATCTATTATTGAAAGTCTTCATAACAAGTGTCATATTTGCTTATTTGTGAATATAGTTGTATAAAATATTTTCTCTCTTTTTGTGTTCCACAGGTGAGTTTTAGTCCTCAAGACAATGCACAGGTTTGTTTCACCGGAAATGGCTTTTTTAAACTTTTTAAGTACAGTGAAGGAACTTTGAAGCAGATGAATTTAAAAAAGGGAATGCCACAAAACTACTTGTGCCATACCTGGCTGTCCAAGGAGGAAGTTATATGCGGTACTGACACAGGCAAACTTATCTTGTTTGAAACTGGAGATCTGCTCTGGGAGACAAGTGTAGAGTACAGAAAACTTCACAGGGAATTAGAAGAAGATGCGATAACAGAATATGAGTGGTAAGTCTGTTAAATCTCATGCTTGTTCATGCAGATTAGTTGCAGGTCATTCACTTATTTCCTTCTTGTCCAGTTTGTGAATAATATTTTGATTGCTGCTGATAAACATTTTTTTTGTTTGTCCTTCAGTATTCTTATGTCTTTATGCATTTCCTGCTTGCATTTTTTCTGTTGGTTCCAGTGTTGATAATGGCTCACAACAGGATTCTTTGCCTCAAATATCTGCAATTGCAGCTTATTCCAAGGGATTTGCATGTTCATCTAGCCCAGGAATTGTTCTGCTGTTTGAGAAGACCAGGGGAAAGGAACTCTACAAGGAGAGTCAAGAAATCTGGGTAGGGAGAAAAAAACTTTTCCGGGCAATAATGCAGCAGAGGCCTGTTTAGAGGGGAGGGGTACTTCCAATTCATTTATTTATGATAATTTTTAGCACATCTCTGAATTACATTTTAAGCATTAGCTAACTCTCCTGATTGAAAGGAAGGGAGTTGCCAGAGGTCACATTGAAAGGCAGTGACAGGTGAATTTTACAAGGTAACTCTGCATGTTCCCTCATCTAAAATCTGCTTTGAGGCTGCTAGACATCAGGAAAACTTTAAGAAACTTTTATTCATGGAGACTCCTGGAGCTAAGAAGTACTATAAATCAATTTTGCAGAACTAGTCTGCTTAGGTTTTTTCCCAAGGCAAAATTTTTGTCTCTTCAGATATTTATGAGACTTTTCCACTATTAAGTAATCCATTAAGATTTATAACTGTTCTATAGTGAGCTGTATGCATTGACTTCTTTGCAGCTTCTGGATAAGAACGTTTAGCTCTGATGACCTCATCAAGCCTTCATACTTTAAGCCTCAGAGGTCAGATCTTCCCTATGTAAGAGACTCTGTAATAAGGCTGTTATCAACCTGAACGATACATTGCAAAGAACTGTTACTTTGACATCACAATTTTCAGGCAGTTTTCATTCTGACACTTGCTAGGTTTTTTTCTCAATGTTTTTCTGCTACCATTTTCAATTTTGTTTAAGGCAGTGCTTAAGTTTACTGCTGGAAATGTCTGTTGATACTTTTTACATCTGTAATGCTATAGATACAATTATATTATCTTGTCCTCTGTTCCTTGCCTTGCAGTAGTTAGATACTATTAAATATCTACGTTTTCTCATTGATACTAAGTATATGCTTATTAGAGTAGCATTACAGCAAAAGTTTTTGTGTGTGTATGTGTGTGTGCATGCCTACTACTAAAACTTGAGACCTGGAATATCCCATGGGATACATTTCTTTTGCAGCTTCCTAAGGACCAGTTCAGCAGTGATCCAAAAAAGTCAGGCAGACAGAACATTATATGTATATGCTTCAGCCCCTCAGAGGAAACAATGGTTGTTAACACACATAAGAATCAGCTTTACATGTTTACTATGCTCACCACTGATTTCATGAAGGTGAGTGAAATCCTATCACATTCCACATCCCTAATGGCCAGTAAGAGGTATTGTAATGGCACAGGCTGTTTAGTGTCACTTTCTATAATGCATTCTCATAAATACCATCAAACAGCATCTGAATGCTTAAAGCTCATGATATGATGAGTTCTGTGTGCTTCTCTAGAGCTGTATTTCAGCAGCCCCTTGCTCAACCATCCCTCCATATGAATACCTGATGTTATTCAGGAAAATGAGAGAGGACACTGTTAAGTCTGTTTAAGGATGCTGAACTAGTTAAGTAAATGTTGAACTAGTTAAGCAAAGCTTTAACAGAGAGACCTTTAACAGAGAGAATTTTAACATGATAGTTTATGCTCCACTTTAACATGCAGAGTTTTTAATGCAATGATAAAGCTGGAACAGCCATGGGAATCTCATGTGACTCTAAAATAATAGTCATTGAAGTCCTAGTTAGAAGTGAAACCTCTTTGTGAAGGACAAACTTAATGAAAAACATTCCCTACTCTGAAGGAATTAAATAATAAAAAGACAGGAGATAAATGTATTATCACGAAATAGACTGGCTTGGAGTTAAATATGTACAGGCATATGGAAAGGTCTTTACAGGAGGAGGTTTTGTAGTTATGGGTCCTTTTTCTGCATGCAGCGTAAAATTTTATTTGGGCTTCACTTTGGGATGTACTAACTAAACATCCTGATTAAGATGCTTATCACTCCGCGCTGGATTGTTTTTAAATATATGTCTGGCCAAAAAGTCTTAAATGAATTCTATTTATTTATAAATAAATTTTATTTATTTATCCAGTTTGCATTTCTTTGGACACCTAAAACTACTTTCTGCTCTCACTAGTGTATGAGGACTGTGGAGCCTACATCTTCCCCCCCATCACTTTTCTTGATTATTAATTATAAAGTTAAAACTGATTCTAACATTGTTATGTTTTCAATATTGTTATGTTCAGACCTGTGCACTGAAAGGAGTAAGTGGTTTCCTCAAATCTCTATTTGGTTACTGCATGCAAAGAGCAATGATAGATTTCTTACCTGACTTACTGCTTGTAGTGAAATATTTGTGAATTTTTGTTTTCATTGCTTCTCAGGAGAGGATTGCTTATTTTAAATATCTGACTTTCCCATTGCATTCTGCTTCCATTACTGGTCTGGACATCTGTGTTTGGA